ACCCCCATCTCATCCCCTGACCCCAGTGGTTCCCACCTGTCCTCTCCTGGTTCTGTGGCTGCCACCAGCTGTACCCTTTCTGCTCAGGAGCCCAGGCGACTTCTGAAAAGCAGGCTGGATTCTGTCCCTCTCCTCCGCTGCAGCAGGGCCTCCTCGGTGGCCTCCCAGGTGCTGCTCCTCTCGGTGCCTCTTTTCCAGCCCTGAATGCTCAGACCTCTGTGGGGCTGCGGGATCCATCTGTCTTCATGCGCCCCCTTCCCTTCAGACGCCCATCCTTGCCCCTCCTCAGCTCAGCCAGGCATGGCTTCTCCTTGAAAACTCAGCCTTTCCTTCCCCCAAATGGTCACAGCTCTGATGACACATTTCCTTTCTGATCTGGTGCTGGACGTGTGGCTTCTCCAGGAGGCTGAGCTGCAGGTCCCAGTCCGAGTCACGGCCCGGCCTCAGAGTGGGGCCTGGCATGTGTGAGGCTCAGGGCCTGGTATGTGTGTGGTCTGTGCTCTGGTGTGTGTGTGGCCTGGGGCCTTGTATGTGTGAATATGTGGTGCCCAACCTGCAATGTGTGTGGCGGGGTCTGGGCAGTGACTCCGTGTGTGTGTGCTCCCTCCCTCCTCATCATGTTCTTCCTGGTCTTTGCTGAACTGAAGATTTCCAGAGCCTCAGCATCCCACTGGCCGGATCGTGTGCCCTGAGGAACCGCACCGCAGATCGCAAGGTCAGTCCTGAGATGCGGCCTTCCCTGTCTGTGAGACGTGCTGATCTGTGCCTCCGATTTCTCCTTTCTTTGGAGTGATCCTGTAACAACTGGCTGAGTAAATGGGGTTTTGTGTGTGAAAACGTTTTAGGAGTGGCGGGGCGATGTTGCTGCTGTGAGAATGAAGCAGAAGTTAGGATATGTGTGCAGATGCTCTTTTAGTCTGCTTTTACTGGGCAGTGTCGCTGACGATGTTGAAACTATGTCCCTGCAGACGCTGTGCTTGCTGGCCTCCCTCTTTGGCGGGAAGATTGCCGTGTTGGAGATCGACCCGGCCGCGCTGGTCAGGGCTCAGCAGTGCCCCAGCCTGAGGCAGAGCCTCTCGGTGCCAGCCAGGTAGAGTGTCTTCAAGTGTGGAGTGTGTGTGTGTGTTCACCAAGTAAGCGGCATTTGGATTTCTTTCTATATTCAGAAATAAAGTTTAGGAAACTCTGAGCTCTACCAACACTGTTTGGAAGAAACATTTTTTCATGCTGTTGCTTCTGTCTTGTTGAAAGAGTTGATAGTTTATTTTAATTGAAACACTATTTTACTTCAGAACAGGATGTACGTTATAAAGCAGCACTTTTGTTAAGAATATATTAATTTTTTCCTACAAGGATAAGAATACGCTTGACAGTTTTCATTTTCAAATACTGTTATGTCCGTAGCTGCGTGAATTAGTCATTTGTAACTGTCTTTAAAGTGTGTATGTCACTGAAACATTTCTATCATATTGTTTGCCCTCCTAGTTTCATGTGGCTTGTATCTGTTTCAGCTCCTGTGTCCTACCGACCTCTCCACTGTATCTGGGAATTGCCAAGGAGAAGAGTCCCAAGGCTGCTAGTGGACGGCGATGTGGTCAGTACCGGGGGCTATGAAATCTAAGAATACAAGGCTGATGCGTTCTCATTGTGGTTAGGGCTGCTGCATTGTTTTGCGAATTCCTGTTTGTTAAAATACGCATTCCGTACTTCCTTCCATCCTTCCCTCCTTCGTGGCTCTGCCTCTTACGTGTTTGTTCCGTGTCAGTTGTGGTGGGGAACATGCTGGGTGCTTCCCCTCCTGGACTGGCCGTCACTCATGGGATTCGGCAGCATGCCCAAGACTGACCGCTGTTCCTCTGGTGCCTGGCGCAGTCGGGGTGCAGAGTGGCCCTTCAGCAATGACTGACCGTGAGAACATTTGTTCCCCTCTTTTCTCTGCTGAGGAATTTGAAAGCAAATCCTGAGCGTGTGATTGTACGCCTGCGCACTTCAGTGTGCCTTTCTGGAACACGTATGTTTTTACCTAGCCACCAGGACGTTATATCGAAACCGGTAACTTTTTGGAATCTTGTATTAGCAAGGCCATAATAAATTATTCTTGATTGCCTTGACAATATTTTCTGTTGGTTTGTTCTGAGCAGCAGCCAAACAAATCCACATGTTGCATCTCTCAAACTTTTAGATGGTAAACTTCTTTATGTTCCGTTTATTTCAAGGCTCACTGATAATTACTTCTTTTTTCCCTTCAGTGACCAGTCTAACCCTTTAATCTATCTTGTGAAACCTCCTACTGGACCTCATTCGAAAAACGAAGGCATTACCGCAACCCCCTTTCACCTTCTGCCTTGTAGCTCCCTGACTGCTGGGCCTCACCTCCCAGAAGGGCCTTCTCCCCAGCCAGCGACCTGGCAGCCCCACCCTCGGGCCTCTCCCCAGGCTGGGCTGGGCTGGGCTGGGCTAGGGTTCCTCTCCCCGGGCTGGGCTGTGACCCCATCCTCGGGCCTCTCCCAGGCTAGGCTAGGCTGGGCTGGGCTAGGCTGGGCTGGGCTAGGCTGGGCTGGGCTGGGCT